TTTATGAGTATGAGTAGATTCCAAAAGATTAGGATTCTTTTTCAGAAAAGATTTTTTAAATTGTTTTATAAAAGCATCTGTAATCTTGGAATCTATCTCATAATCCTCATCAGAATCCTCTCCAACTTTATGAGCACTACTAAAGCAATATCTTTTTGTTTCTTTTTGAAATTCCTATGTGCCTCATAAGTTTGGAGATTTCTAACCAACTGATCCAACTTGAGGTTGTCAACATCTTGAGCCTCCTCAATAGCCGTAACTTTTGATTGGAACCGATCGGGCAAGGATCTCAAAATTTTTCCCACAACTTTGGATTCTGATATTTTTTCACCTAAATTGAAGTTGGAATTTATAATGTCACTCAATTTCGCATAAAATTCATCAAATGTCTCACTATCTTTCATTGAAAGGTTTTCGAAACTAGACGTGAGCCTTTGAAGTTTTGAGCGTTTCACAGAAGGAGTGCCATCATGAATAGTTTGTAAGATATCCCAAGCCTCTTTTGTGACTTCACAATTGCAAATTCAACTAAACTCTTCAGGTGTGACAGCGCAAAAGAGAGAATTGATAGCTTTATTATTCCAGCTACTATTTTGATAATCAATTGTGTCCCACTTTTCAATTGGTTTGGGGAAAGTTACTCCATCAACGGTAATTGTTGGTTCAATCCACCCATTCATGACAGATTGCCAAACTTTTTCATCTATAGATTTCAAAAACGATCTCATCCGAGCTTTCCAAAAGGAATAATTGGATCCGTCAAGTATGGGTGGTCGAACCATAGAATTTCCCTCACGAATTGAATCCATTATCACAAATCAAACAAAATCTCGTTCTAAAAGATATATTTTTTAAAAAAAATAGAACGACCTGCTCTGATACCAATTGAAAAATCTACAAACCTCCTAAATGTTGATTTGTGATTATGTATCAGTTTTAAGCAGAATATAGCAGTCCCAATCAAACAATTAAGACACAGAGACACAACGATTTTACGTGAAAAAACCACAATTGGACACCTCCAACTGTGATAAAAAAACTACGGACAACAGCCACAAAACAATCCACTAAAAAGATTTAAGGAATTACACAAGTATACTCTCAATTACCTAGCGAATCCACGCCTAATTGAACTAACCTCTATCTGCCTCTTCCAACCCGTCTTCACCTCAGAATTGTCTTTACGATGAGCCACTCCGAAATCCACCAAAGCTTCAGGCTCGAATTCTTCAAAATCTACCGAAAAACAACTCTTTCTCTCTTTTGTGTAGAATAAACAAACAAATCTTTGATGTATGCTTCTTAAACTATGAGTTGAATACTCAATAAAAAAAAATCAAAGAAAACTAGCAAAATATCCCCAGATAAACCTTAGAATTCAAAAAGAAGATCCGAAGCACTTGTCCAAGTTTTGGAAGAAACCCAACTACTTATAGAAAACTAAAGTAATCCTAGTTTTGGAAGAAAACCAATTCCTTATAGAAATTCAAAGTAATCCTGAATTTGAAGAAAACCAATTCTTTATAGAAATCCAAGAATCTGTATTCGCGCGGTCCGCTTGAGCGTGGGAATTCCCGCTCGAGTGGAGGCTTCAAAAGCACGATCCATGGAAATTGACAAAAGCACAATTCGGGTTGGATTCGCATCTAAACACTCATAGCCTCACTGAAATAAAAGGTGCAAAAACAAATACAACTGAAAGAAGTTTTGTCAAACGGAATTGCCAAAAATAAAACCTAACAGTAAATTATACTAAACTCTCTTGAAATTTAGAAAAAATATAATACATCTTCATAATTTTGACATAATTATACCAATCTCCTTTTTAGTAAGATTAAATAGACCAAAATAAATGCAAATTTTGTAAGAACACAAAAATAAACATCGTAAAGTATTTATTTTTTTGTAAAAAAAATGACAAAATTATTTTATATCCATATAACTAACAAATTATTAATGAAAAATGATTAATACAAATTAAAAGTACAAGAAAACTAAACATAATTATGTCAAAATTATAAGACTTATTGTATTTTTTTTTTTTCAAATCTCAAAAGATGTTAGTGTAATTTGTCTTTTTAAAAAACAATCACAAGTATAATTCAAAATTTTATAATATTCTTCAAACCAATTTTTATAAAATATGTAAAGAGACACATCAAAATTCTCATATTATATTTCAAATATTACAAAAAATCACCAACTTCAAATAATATAAAAATTTTGTAAAAATATTACTAAAGAAAAACAATTTGGTTTCTTTCGTTCAAATGTCAAAAATGAAGATCTCAAATCCATCACCACCACCTGATTAAACTTTAATCAATGCGTAATTAAGAAAATTTATGAATCATGATTATGGTCAAACAAAACATAACTGTCCAGCAGAAGAAACAGGTGATCATGTTAAGGGTGTATATGAAAAATGGTAGGACCTCGAAGCATACTATCTAATCTCTCTCCCGAAACGCCATTGATGATTCCTTCCTTGTATGCTTTTAATAAATGAAATTTGGTTTTTTTCCATAAAATAAAAGAAACAGCTTCTCGCCATATGGGATTAGAGGGTACTGTTAGATTATGTGGGTCCATTATGAGTCCAAATCAATAATTCAAATAATTAAATATATCAATTCAAAAAAAAACCATTAAATATATAAATTTTGTTGAGTATTTTATATTTATGAAAAATTAAGTTAATCGGATATAGATAATCACTTGATCAGATCTAATTTATGACAACATTATTTATGATTTTAAAAATAAATTGTTAATATAAATGTGATCTGATCAAATGGTTATTGATATCCGATCAACGTGATTTTTTATACAAAATAAAACAAAGGATAAATTACAAATACATCCTCTGAAATTTGTTTAAAATACGAATTGGCCCATGTGATTTGAAAAATTACATATATTTTCTTGTCATAATTTTTTATTTAACAGAATTAATTGAAAAAGTAAAATTTCTAACTGTTCACTTATATAATAATAAAATTATCTGAATTATTAATTGAAATAAAATTTTAATATTATTACAAACTGTTATTTAACTTAATAATTTATTAATAAAAGAACTTATTTATTATGAAATTAAAAACCTTATGGACATAATGTAATTTCTAAGACTACATAAGATAATTTATAACTTAAGTAAATCTTAAAAAATGTGTTTGTAATTTACTCTAAAATAAAATAATGGGTAAATTACATTGACACCCCTTGAGGTTTGGTTGAATTACTACCCACCTCTTGACTTTTTAAAAATTGCATTCTCACTCATGTGGTTAATAGTCGCATTTCACAAATCCCCCTACTTATATAAAAGGGAACAACTCTTAGTAAAAAAATGAGGAAATTACATTTAAAAAAAAAGGAAAGCAAAGGAGAAAAAAAAGAAAAAGTAAGGAAAAGTAAAGCAAAAAAAGAGAGAGTGCATGAGTTTAATGTCTTCATTCCATCTAAATAATTACAATGACAGGGAGTTAGTGTAATTTCTCAAATGTCAAGAAGTGATATGTATTAAACTCAAATCTCAAGGCGTGTAAGTATAATTTACCCTAAAATAATTGACAAACTTTAAATATTAACGGTTCAAAATATCGATATAAATTCACGAAAATATTAACAATTCAAAGTATCGATATAAACTCACCAAAACCCAACATCACGCTCCAATTGAGTTTCAAACCCAATTGTTTTTTTAGGTCTTTCACGGTATTTCCAAGTTTTTTGGACCCAGGACTAATCTGTCGAGGAAGCTGTCTGACGCATATGCGAGGTCCTCTCTCAAAGAGATTTACTGTATCTACAAAGACTCAAACTCAAGACCTTTACTTAAGCGACCTAAGTTCTTTTTCACTTGGATCAACTCCCATTCGTGTTTCAAACCCAACTGTAGAGAAGCCGAAACCTAAAATAAAACCCCCCACAAAAATCGAGACCCAGACAAAGAGTCACGAGCGTAATTCGTGCATAGTGAGAGGGGTAATTTCGTAATCTCAAATCAGCACTCCCATTTTAACATCGCACCACCTCTCTTCCATTCCAGTCTTTTCCAGCTCAAAATTTCACAGCGATATACATATATACATATATATAGAGAGAGAGAGAGAGAGAGAGAGAGATTTTAGAGAGACAGGAGAGAGAGCTTCATTGTCGTCGTTCATGGCGACTGGGTGGGTCAAATCGTTACAGTGCAAATCTAGAGCATCAGACGACGTCGTTCACCACCACTACCACCACTTAGTCGCCTCTTCGAGTTGCAGAAAAAGTGTCCAAAGCCTCAAAGATGTAATCGAAACCACCAAACAAAAGCCTCGGAAAAAGCCCAAACAACCGCCATCGCCGCCGCCGCATCACAGACAACCCAGTTCGAGAAAATCCGAACCCAGTTCGAATCACACGAATCGAGCTCGGCCCAGTTCATCGGCGCGACATTCGCTAGCGTCGGACCCATTCTTTCCGGCTCTCACGGAGCTCCCGGAGGGCCACTCGTCGCGAAACGTGGTGGAGATAATCTTCCATACAAGTTGGTCGCCCAAAGCTTTCTCGGGTCGGATCGAGATGGTTTTCAAGGTCCAGAACTTGCCCAGAACTGTGACCCGGTTCGAGGAATACAGAGAGATATTGAAGTCCATGGCGGCCTTGAGTGGCGCCGCCTCCGTCGACGGTGGCTGCGAAGACCATGCTCGGTGTGTCGCCGATGGGAATGAGGTCATGAGGTTTCACTGCTTGGGTCAAACCGCCGGAGCTCCGGGTTACGAAGCCGGGTGCGGCGGAGCATGGGCGTTTCACGGCGGAAAGGGTGCGATATGTACTTTTTCCGGCAGCGGCGGTGCACACGAGAGCTCCGGCGGAGGGAGGGGGAGGAGGGCGATGTTGGTGTGCCGGGTCATTGCGGGTCGGGTGTGCAAACAAATCGGTTTGGAGACGTTGTTGGAGGGACGAGTCGGGTTTGACTCAGTGAGTGGGGAGAATGGCGAGTTACTGGTGTTTGATTCACGTGCGGTATTGCCTTGTTTCCTTATCATCTATAAATTGTAAAAACACATTGCCATTATTTTCTTTTGTCTCCTTGCATTTATCACTACCAATTTTCTTCTTCTTTTTCTTTTTTTTTTTTCTTCTTATTTTCATGGCTTTTTTTTAATCTTTTTTTAGTATGTGTGGTGATCATAGAAAATTGGGATGATAAATGTATTGGGCAAATTGTGTCATCTAATTTAATTTTTTTTATCAATCTAGTCATTATAATTTTAATTATATTAATTTAAAATTTAAAATTTTTGCAATATATTAATTTTAAATTTGATGTTAATTTTTCAATCATTCTAAAGAGAACGAATGAATATTTTTTGTTTTTAAAAGTAAATATTTTGATATTGTTTTTTTAACAAAAATGTATTGTCACAATTAATGTAGAACCACTGCTACTTTATCAATGTGGGATTGCTTAAGCCTCCTCAGGTGGATGATAGAACCACCGTTAGGTGGCAAATATTGTATGGGTCCATAACTGTCCTATACTTGAGATGTTGAATTTGCAACTAGCAAAACATAATTACGAGCCAAAGTTAGGTCAAGTACTAAATGGTTCGAATTGGGTTTATGGGCATATAATGAGTCTTGTTTTAATGATTTAATATTTTATTTTATTTTGGTGTTTATATGTAGATCTTTCTTAGAAAAATCATATTAATTTAATAAATATAGTTACATAAGTTCATTATATATCTTTAAAAAAAATGAATGTCATATTTTTAAAATCACATTTCTTATTTATTTTTTAAAAATAATTAATGAAAATTATGTGATTATGCTTAATAACTTAATATGTATTTTTTAAGAATAATTTGTACATATGCCAAAAAAATAAATAATTTGAGTCATAAAAATAAGACTTATGATTGCCCCAAATCCAAATATCACACTAGACGATCTAATCTTCCAAAAGAGGTTAAAAATAATTTTTTGATTTTTAACCTTTTTGACTACATCACTTTTTTACTCCTTTTTTTTTTTTTTTTTTGGTTAAAAACAAAAAATTTAAAAATCAAAAAATTATTTTTTAAACTGCCTTACTAAAGCAACCAAAAAAATGTTTAAACACACAATCGGGGATAATCAAGGTTATCTTGCATAAAATCAATTAATTGAACTTATACTCTCCTCGTTTTATAAAATAAATTAAACTTGAACTTTTTGGGAAAAGGGGTCACTGTTGTGCTTTTGAACACAACAGTGACTGAGGTGCCTTTGTTTGAGGTGTATTATGATCTTATTTTTATGGTCCAAACCGATGATTTTGTAAGATTTGTTGAGTACTTCATACCTACCAAAAATCATATTAATCGGATATCAACAACTATATGATCGATAACCAAAAAAATAAATAATAAGTTTTTCTTTTGAGAAATAGCATAAACAATATGCTATTCGATCATATAGTTATTGATATCCGATTAATATGATTTTTGGTAAGCATGAAGTACTCAATAAATCCTACAATATGAATGGTTTAGATCATAAAAATAAGACTATAATACACCTCAATCGGAGGCACCACAGTCACTGCTGCCGGGACCCTGTTCCAACATTTTGATAGTAAATTTTGAATTAGACTAGATTTAACTCGATAAGACTATTTGTATTCATTGGTGGTGTTTGGTCTGGCTTAATTTGGGCAGATTATAGCTTTTGGCTTTTAAAAAGTTATTACAGACTGTTTGGTTGAGCTTAAGGTCAACCACTTGAGCTTCTACAAATTTTTTTCTTACATAAAAAAGTTGAAAATCAGAAGCGGCTTGGAGCAACTTCCGTAACTGGGATTATGCGGAGGGGTATGGAAATTACTAAAATGCCCTTCAATAATTTGAAGTATTACGAAATTGTCACTATATAAACCTCAAAATCACTGTTCATTCTCTCTGAGAGAGAGGAGAGTGGCGATTTCCGGCGAGATTGCCGGCGTTATGAACCGGATCCCCCCCTCTCTCTCTCTCTCTTCGACGTTGTTTTCTAGCTGTGCTATGAAACCCATCGCGATGAAACCCTTCTTCTCCTCTCCGGCGTCGCGATTTGAAACCCTTCTTCCATTCCTCTCCGGCGTCGCGATCTGAAACCTTTCTCCTCTCCGGCGTCGCAATCGCGATCAACGCTGTCTCTCTCTCTTCACGATCACAATCAACAACAAGCTTCTCTCTTTCTCTCTCTCTCTCTCTCTCTTCGCAATCAACGATTGTAGAGGGCTGCTGGAGTGGGGGATGAGGAGGAGAAGAAGGGCGTGACCGGCGGTGGCTAGGGCTGCCGGCGGTAGGGTTTGGCTAGGACTTCCAGATGCATAATTAACAATTTTTATATTTTAATTAATATTAATTCTAATGAATTAATAATAAATTAAAAAAATTAACAATTTTAATATTATTAATTAATATTAATTAATATTAATTGTAATGGATTAATAATAAATTAAAAAAATTAACAATTTTTATAGCTTATTTCATAAGATTAATTTATTGAAGCTTTTTTTGATGCAGCTGTTATTTATCTTATTAGATTTATTTATTTATCTTAAGATTAATTTTTATAGCTTATTTCATAAGATTAATTTATTGAAGCTTTTTTTGATGCAGCTGTTATTTATCTTATTAGATTTATTTATTTATCTTAAGATTAATTTTTATAGCTTATTTCATAAGATTATTTATCTTAAGATTAATTCAAACACCACCAATTAAATCTATAATCAAAAAAAGCTTCAATAAATTAATTTATCTCATAAGATTTTTGATGTTAAAAAATCTGAAATCATTGTATTATTATTTATTTCATAATATTTATTTATTTCAAGTTATTATTATTTATTATTTAAAAAATCTTAAATCATTGTATAAAAATTTAGTTTTGTGTAATATTTATTTCATTGTATTATTATTTAAAAATAATATGGTTATGTTAATTTGGTGTTGGAATGATCTCTTCCTATGTAATTAATAGCAAAAAGTTCAAAAAAATTCAATTTACATTAGTGCCTGTTTGGTGCAGCTTAAAAGCTGCTTATTTCAGCTTTCAGCTTAATTTAAGCTATTTTGATGTGTTTGGTTTAGCTTAATAATGCAGCTTATAGATTTTTGTAAGTCAAAAATCAGCTTATTCTTTGAGTGGGGCAGGAGATGCTCAATTTATAAGTCAGAAATCAACTTATGTTCATAGTTATAAGCTATAAGCTGTTAAAGCATAAGGTATAAGCACTTTCACAGCTCTACCAAACAGGCACTAACAAGGGTAAAAAAGACATTTACACAGCAAAAAATTATTTCACAGCTTATTTAATAAATACTACTCAGCAACCTAAATCTATAATCCAACAGCTACACCAAACAAATTAATAGCTTCTGATTAAAGTCGTAATTTACAATCTGTTAAGCTATAAGCTATAATCTATTTTAACAGTTATACCAAACGGCCCCATTGAACAAGAACCCTCTTCAATACAAAACTTAAGTAACAATATTAGAAATTCACATTTTGCACTCACAAATATACCCACAAAATCCACAATGATGATATGACGAGAGTGATAAGTCCATTTGATTGAATGTTTTGTTAGATAATGTCTCAATGAGATCACGTAATTAAATGTGGTGTTATCATTTATAAGAAGCCTACAATTTAGTTAATAGGCTTAAGGATATATATGTTATGGACCTAATGTGTAAATACTAATTGTATAATTTCTATTTCTATGAGAGGCAGAAATAGAAATTAAAACATATTAGTTAAAGTTGGTTTTCATTCCTTTTGAACTTCCACAACCTTTCAGTTTTGAAAACCAATAAATAGAAATTAAAATCAATAATGGTTAAAGTTGACTTTCATTCCTTTTGAACTTCCACAACCTTTTAGTTTTGAAAACCAATTACAACCTTTAAAAAGTTATGATCCCTATTCCTTCCCAAGTGGAAAAATAAGAACACTGTCATTTTTCTTTCTAAATCCTCTCAAGGAGAAACATAAGGCACAAAAAGGAAAAGGATTAGAATGCAATAACATAATCAATAACAAAGAGTTCATTGATAATCACGCTTCCGTTTAACCGTTCATCAATGGATTCAGGTATGTCATTTTGTCTTGATTTCTTGATAATACACATGGTAAATAATCCAAAGTGTAAAGTTTATGTTCTGAAATTTATGTTTACATGTTTAACTAATCAAAAATTGACGCTTTTCAATTACATCATTATCATTACGAGTTAAATTATAAAAAAAATTATGAGTCACATTTTTCTAACTTAAATACCTCAAATTCTGACATGAAAGCTCCTCATCACCACCGTCGTATTGAATTTTTTTTTTTTTTGGTCAAAAGGCCAAGCATAAGAACTGACTACCCATATTGCACAAAGGCTACCTAGGAGGGTTCCCATTCAGAAACAAATTCAAAATTAAAGTAAAACAAATTCATCCTTCGAAGAAAATGAGGAAGCCCCATTTGCATAAATTCTTAAAGAGTTTCTACACTAGAAAGAAAAATGGTCTCAGCCATGGAGGTTCATCAAAATTCACTACTCAAAGAAATAGGAGGAATACAATGAAATGAGATTTAAAGACAACATAAGCCAACAATAGTCCTCTAATGTACAGTTTATCATGCTGCAGCACGGCGACAGAATGCTGGTAGTACTATCATCCGACAATACTAGTGAGACTCCACAAGTACATATAATGGCTTTCCATTCAATCGGTCACGGCCCTGCAACATCCAACGAATAATAATATAACAGTAACCATGTAAACAGAATATAAAGGATTGCAGTTCCTTCAGATTGTCAAATGCATAGTAACATGATACAACCATATAATTGTAGAATAATTCCTTCATTTACTAAAGGTAGCGCAACCAAGAAAACAAACATGATGAGGGATTCAGCCCCAGTTTATAACAAGCAATCGGTCATATCTTGTAGGACCACTTGAACATAGCATGCAGGCTTTCTTACATCTACATGAACTTCATGAATTTTCAAGCAGATTAAAATGCTAGGCAAAATTCATAATACAGACTAAACCACATTCAACTTTCAGTCAACTCGAGTTGATTAAATTTAGTCTTCCGTACTACCAACTAAAGTGAGAGGAACTAGTAAGACTATAATATTCGCCGAAGTCTTACCTGTTGCATCTATCTCATCTCACTATACATTTTAGTCAGTAAAACATACATAAGACCAAAATGTTGCTGTTACCAAAGTGATGACAATTGATCAATTCAGATAAATGTCAAGGAACTGAGATAGTGGCAGCATATAAGCAGCACAGTTTCAAAAAATAAACAAGTAATTATAGAAGCTCGAATCACAATCAATTGATGATATTTAAGAACTAAACCACAGAAGAACTAACTAATAGCTAAGGAAATGAAAGCGGCCAAGAGTGTATTACATACAAACCTTTAAATCTGGTAATTCAATTACACATGCACATTCAACAACTTCAGCCCCTGCACGTTCTGACCAAAAAAAATAAATCAGTCACAATATATTCTAGTTTGCACAATATATATATATATATATATTTCCAGCAGCAAGGGCAGTCTCAGTCGCTACACATGCATACAGAATGCATACTATATGGTTTCGAAAATTTAATTGAAGAGGTATGCTCAATCAATAAAATACACAAGTATGCAACATCAAATTCCATATTAATTCAGTCCGGAGAAATAGGAGCAAAACATTCATCTTGCTAACTGGGCAAAATCCTTGATGAATTAAGAAGGAGAAAGTCTATAACAAACATATGGTAAATTTTGTTATTTGGCTAACCAAATAACCAACATGATTGAAGCTGAACACCTTTGACTCAAGGTAAATTGGATAACAGCCTCTTCCATCCTTTTTTTTTTTAAAGGTTGGCATAGTATTTGGCCTTCACCCAGATCCAAAGCAAGTTGCAGCCCTTGTCAAGGTAGCACTTCATTGGGTCCCCGTGTTCAATGACTAATAAACAGGTGGTTCGTTTTCTCACTACATATGGAATTGTTTATATCCATGAGTCAAGCATTTTCCACATTAATTTTTTAAAATATAGGAAAAAGAAAAAGAGGACAGTGCTTTTACTGGGACTCCTAAAGCTAAAACAAATGATTTACAAGGGAGTACCCAATAAATTCATTGCTGCACAGAGGGTTCCACCAGTGGCAATCAAATCATCAACCACCAAAGCACGTTCATCAGGCTCAACTGCTCCAATATGCATCTCCAGACAATCCGTTCCATATTCCAAGATATATTTTTCTGAAATAACTTCACCTGTCCAAAACCACACACACACACACACAACTTACTTGTCATTATGGTAAACTTTGAATAGCCATAAGAATTTGAAATTGTGATCCCACAAGACACATAATATTTATACCCACCATCACACATCAAAGGGAACATCAACAATGTATGCATACACTTGCTAGTAGCGGTGGGCAGCTAAGTAATCATGATGAAGATGGTTTGATTGCAAAATATTTTGAAGCAAAGGGTTAAAGCAAGTTGGCAAATGGCAGACAGTGTGTAATGTATAGTACCATAAAGTGAAATATCTAGATAGACTTCAACTATATCGAAACAGACTAACTAAGCAGGCAAACAACATTCTGTTGCACAACAGATACCAATAGATCAAAAAACAAAAAATTAGGACACAGTTTGTTAGTTCATGTTTAGCCAAGTCCAACAAATCTAGTTGAGACACAGCTGATAGCTCTAACATTAAATGTCCAACATCATATGATTTGCCAGTCATATGTCATAATATAATTCTAGAATATGCTATTAATCAGATTAAACAGAGATCTACAAAATAATCTTTAACAAGGTAATTCCTAAAGTTATGTATGCAGTTGTATTATCTCATGGCTGACAGCCCATTGGGCTGCGCTAGCATGCTCCTTTGAATAAATTCTTTTTTATGTTTAACAAACCTTCATCAAAACCACCATCATCATAAGTCAATGGGTCCAGGTAACCATAATTACTATTTACTACACATGACTAGGAATGCCAAGGCATCAAGTTTTATCCTCACAAAATCCCAATATTTTGAATCATACAGCAAACATCTACACAGAGTAGAATCCAATAGGACACATCATGCAGTGATTTAACACAACTTAGGCAGACATACTTAAACTAAATGGAATTTCAGTAAGTAAAGGCTCAAGAGTGCAAACCAACGTGACCACAATGAATATTCAAGTCACTGCTCGATCATTTTAGTTATATATATGTTTATAAAATATATATTAAAAATAAATAAATAAATAAACATCAAACAGAATAACATAGACAGGAATACACTAGGAACCAAAGAGTTGCAAAAACCACTGCAAACTGCCATCCAAGTAAAATTCAACCCCCATCAACAATGATAAGTTAAACCTTGTGCTGCATTACTAACTTTCATTTCAGCTTCTAATTATTTTTGAAGCATGTATTTACATCACCAAAATCATTGTAAGAGAAATGGCTAAAAAATCTAACAAGCGAGATTTAAATACTGCAACAATACTGGGCAAAGTAGCACTCAAATATATCAGTATTCTAACAAACAACATTCCGCATGCACAAGAATGCCAAAGAATAGGAATATCCTAATCAAGTTAAACCTATATAGAGCCTAGAGGTCTCCAATTGCCACAAAAGACGAGCATTACAATGGATCGGTGTATAATTTGAGTATACGAGGCATATGATAATATGAGACCAATCAAACAATAGATATGTTTTTAAAAGAAACAAATTCAAAGCAATGTAATAGATCATGACAGCATCACAAGGGCCAACAGTATGTAAAAGAACTAGTCATTTTTATTCTATGAAAGTAACAAATATATTTTGAAATATATACATAGTTATACCACTAAAAATAGGGATCATACTGAAGGGTAGAAAAATACCAGGCAACTTCCTCGGTTTTCTCAAGGGAACAAACTTTGCTCCTATAGCCAATGCAATGGGAGGACCAAATATAAATCCCCGAGCTTCTATACCTGGCAACACAAAAGCAACCACAAATTGAGCAAAGAATTCATATGATAACTAATTCACGCATAGTTCGATCCAATAATAATTGTTTCCCTTAAATAGTTCAACCAAATAAACATATTGTACTCCGCTAACATGCCATAATTGGAAAAGCAACAAAAGAAAAAGAAAACTGATAACATTTTTAACTTAAATAAAACCAGCAGCAACACTGGAGACAAGTCACCTCAGTGTGTTAAAACCACCAATTTCAGTACTCATACAGAGCAAACACCAAGTATTAACACAAAAAAAGAGTAGCTAGGCTAAGAAAAACAAAGGTTAAGATAAGCCAACACAAATATCAAGAAAAAAATATATCTACTCAAATAACCTTTCAGAAGAAGGGGCAAGAGAGTTATTGAGAAATGGCTAACATAGTCTTCTAAAAAATTGATATTTAGAACTAGAATTGAATTTTATGATCCACCAATAGAAAATAATAGAGACTTATTTATTCGACGCCCTAGTAAAAAATTTGGTATAGCCCTCAAAGTACATCATCTTATATAAAGACTAAATAAAGGTGTACACCTAGTAATTCTCTGAATGGTTTGATCTTGGGTTTGGACAGTGGTGGTTTCAGTGACAAAATGGAGATGGATTTCCACTGTCTGATACATCTTAGTAGATCACTTCTCACGGGCAGCAATGTTCTGAACCAAATGTTAACTTGAATTTGGACAACAATAGTTGCAGATACCAACCATCAAAAGGAGATGGGAGAGAAGAAGATATTGCTTAAGGTACTTGATTATTACCCTTCTAAAAGCCTAGCAAACTTGATTACAATGGATCATTTTATGAATTAAAAATTGGAGACCTCGCTAATCTCACTCTATTGTAGATGACCTTGGTTATCCCCCAATGTATTACTAGATGCACATGTATGTGTGCATACTATACATGCAAAGTCTACAGACGCTCCATGTTTGACCATCAACACAGTAAAATCCAAGAGAGAAATTTCTCCAACATATAATACAACAACCTTTATCAAGTATGCTTTCTTGGTTGTACTCAGACCTCTGCCTCAATAAACCCAAAAGTGAAAGCTTTTCCACCAAAAAATTTGAAAATAAATTTTACTTTTTTATTTTTATACTTGTAGAGAAGAATGATGCACTGAAAAAGAACAAACCTTATTTTATAAAGTTTATATAACAAAAATTAAGTGTGAAATTGATATTAAAGGCTGTAAATATGCCTCAACCGCAATCATGGTAAAGGTAGAGTGCACTCAGGAAATTATATTTTATTAAGAAACAAGCAGCAGGAAATAATTTGCAAGCACACACCAGCAAATCAAATGCTTTTAATTTTAAAAAAATGAGTTCTTGCAAATGAGCTTGTAAATTTTCGCAATGTGAAACATGTACTTATTTGGAAAGACAGGCAAAGCAGCAATAACTCAACTTGACAAAACCCTAGAGTATTTAAAAATTGACAAATTGCATTTGAAGCAAGGACATTGAAACAAGTGGAGGATGGCTAATTGAGAGAAAACGACCTCAACCAACAACTTGAATGTTATGGTTACCAGCTTAGAGGATCAAAATTTTAATCTAAACATGGAGAGTGTGATGTACTCCCATGTGGCAGCTAGTTAATCAGTCTCGTAATGAGCCAAAACCCATGTGCACACGCATCTATGTCATAAGAAAACATCAATTTAAATTGATATGGTTATACTAATCTCTAAATTGTTGGGGTTGGGCAGGCCATGGGGGACCATAGTTTTGCCACATCAAACTATTCTTGGTGAACGGAGATTCCGAATAAATATAAATGAGCTGTATACATAAGACAGAATGTCTACATAACCAAACAAATAGACAAATTATAATGGACAACCATGATGACAAAGTAAGAAATTAATATATCTTGAACCACAACAACATGTTTTTAATCAAATTTAATTAAAATGGGAGCTGAGGGCCCTAGCAATGAAGAGTTCATGGAAAATTATTTGACTTCCCTTCCCATTAGGTTTTTTAGAGAGTCAATACTAATTTAGAGCACCGCAACGACCCAAAAAAATTATGTTTATCTCGTCAACATACAAATCAATCATGACAAGATGCCGTGTACGCTGGGATTTATAATAATTTCCTTAATGACCGACTTTCATTCAAAGAATCAAACTTGCAATAGCTTCCTGGGTCAGTTATGTAAAAACGGATCACAGAAAATACAAGACAAATGAGAGAAAAGACAATATGCACTAGCTCTCTATCACAAGAGGTCTATGTGGTTTCAAGAAATTGAACATTAGCAATATACAGTATTCAGCAAATGAAAGTGAGAAGAACAATAAAAACCCACTCATTAAAATGAACTCTGGAACTCAAGGAAAATAACCTTTTCCACAATAATTGAACATATAAAGATCAAACATGTAATTGCACCCAAATATAAACACAAATCAAAAGACAATGCATATGGGGAAAAGGGAATAAATCAAGCACGAATTCATCCAATGGTGAAGTGCTCAAAATACACACAATAGAATAGATCCAAAAACAAAATTGGCCAAATCCAAACGCGAGTGGGTCCTAGAGGTGATCATCCATTACCACCCACCATCCACCCAAATTGGATCGGAGCACATGCAACAGCAAATGCTCTGAGCCGCTCATACCCTTCACAGAAAAGCAATCAAGACACCCCCCACTAAAACATCTATAGTCAAACTGAAAATCACTCCAATCCACAGTCACGTCCATAATGTCCCTCAAAAGCATTCAAAAAGCCACACAGGGTCATAAACTAGTGAAGTCACAGAAGCATTTTCACCAATTTTCACCAATTTCAATACAGTATATATTTGTTTCCTAAACACTTTCCACCCGACCTCAATGCCATAATAATAGTAATACTAGAAATATACACATTTATACTCCTAAATTTACCGACAATGATCATTATGACATAGGAGTTGGGCCCACTACAAATTTACGAGATCACCATTATTAAGTGCGTAACAAATTGAAAGTTGACACATATCCTATCAAATTATTATGGTAGAATTATGGATAGTATTTATACTTAAAAATTTATCTACAATGATCATTGGGACATGGGAGTTGGGCCATCTACAAATTTACGGGCTCACTATTATTAAGTACGTAACAAATCAAAAGGTGACACATATCCTGCCAAATTATTCTGATAGAATTATGAGTAGTATTTATACTCACAAATAATAATCATTGTGACATGGGAGTTGGGCCCACTACAAATTTACGAGCTCACTATTATTATTAAGTGTATAACAAATCAAAAGGTCATATATATTCTGCCAAATTATTATGGTAAAATTATGGGTAGTGTTTTAGGGTTTCAAACATTTTCCAATATATATTGTATTGCTCGCACCTACTTTCCAAGAGGAAAGGCCGCACCATAGGTCCACAGCTCAATACTATTTTAAAACAGTTATTAAAAAAATAAATTACAAATACACTCAGGTTTGTTCAAAATACGATTTGTCCCTCTAGTTGTAGAAATTACAAATACCCTTTGTCAAAAATATTTATTTAACTAAATTAACATTAAAAAAAAATATTAACTAATCTAATATACAAGAATAAAATTAAATTTGAATTATTAATAAAATAAATTATTTGTTATGCGATTAAAACTTTGAGGGGACAAAATGTCATTTTCAGAATCACTCGGCCAATCTGTATTTTAAGTAAAACTCTATTTGTAATTGGAAAACTACATGCAAATGGAAAAAAGGGGAAAAAAATTATCAACATAGGGGTTGCATGTGTGTCGGGGTGGATTGTAAATGAAAAGCTGTTTTTCCCTTCTTCCATCGGCCTCTAGTTCCCCTTTGTAATTTACCACAAATAAATAAATACAAAAGGAAAAACAAAACAAAACAAAACAAAAAACAGAAGAGTGTTCAAAGCATATGGACGATGAAATCTAGGTATATACATACCTGCAACCACTGATATGTTTTTGGCTTTGTAGCGCTCGACGAACATATCGATCGTGTCCTTGAAGGCTTTTGGATCGAGTAACAGTGTTGTGATATCTTGAAACATAATCCCTATATAAACCGACATTAATAAACAAAACAAAACTATATATATATATATATAGAGAGAGAGAGAGAGAGAGAGAGAATGTACCTGGTTTGGGGAAGTTAGGGACGACGCGGATTTTGGATTTGATGCCACGGATGCGAGGATCGTCGCCTTTGCAAACCGACATTGTGGATGGAATATACAGAAAGAAATCAGGCTCCTTCTCTCTCTCTCTCTCTCTCTCTCTCTGACTATATGTATGTATGTATGTGAGAGAATATGTATATCTATACTTGTCTGTGTTGAAGCAGATGTTAACAAGAGAAAGAGAGAGAGAGAGAGTGTGTGCGCGGAGTGAGGCAGAGGAATAGGAAGTTTGGAGGCATTTATAAAGGCAGGCAAGTCTAGAGAGAGAAAATTTAAGGCTTCGTTTGGTCATGGATTTTTTTTTAAGCTATGTTTGGTTTTGACTTTTTGATTAAAAAACATAAAAAATAAAATTGGTTATATAAATTAATAAAATGTCACATAAAAAATAAAATTGGTTATATAAATTAATAAAATGTCATATTTAAATTATAATCATTATATTTTTTTTACAAAAATCAAAAAAGTCGAAAATAAAAACCAAACGAGACTAAAAAAGTCAGGTTAAAATAGCCAAAATGTCAAACTATTTTAACTCTTCCCAAAAGAATACTGGCTTGTTTGCGGTGTACTGATAAGTCATGGTTTGGCTAACATTTTGAAGCTAAATAATCATTAAAAAAAAACAAAATAAGCTATATAAGTCAATAAAATAAAATGTTATTTTTTATCCATAATCATTATATTTTCAAAAATGCTAGATATCCTAAAAATTCTACCAAATGTCTCACATAGATGTGGGACCTACATAGGATAACATTGTGTAAGTCTCACACGCATGCGAGACATTTGGTAAAATTTTTGGTAGAATTTTTGGAGTCTCTAATATTACTCAAAAAGTTGGCTAAAAAAGTCAATGCCAAACGAACCGTAAGTGCACATTTTTTATTTTTTTTATCTTTTTTGGGTCATCATCACATCTCTACTTTTTGCACATTTTTTCGTAAAAATTCAAAAAATGCACTTATTTAGATCATCTCAAACCATCCCAAATTAGTGACAAAAGGATAAAATAAATTAAAAAGTTAATAAAATAAAATGTTATATTTAAATCATAATCCTTTTATTTTTTCTCTTATAAAATTAAAAAGGCCATCTCAAACGAATTTTTAGTCCTAATTTAAAATAGTCAAAAAGTCATAAATAAAATAAAAAAACATACTGCCAAACGACAACTAAGGCATCATTTGGAAACAGACTATTTTAATAATTTTTTGACTTTTTATAAAAAGATGTGCAAAAAAGACAGTGGCTTTGGTCCAATCCAAAATCGAACTGGACCGTGCTGTTGGACCCGTGGGGGCCCACCACGGGTCCCGTTTTGATAATCCGAACAGTTCAATATGTAGAACTCGTCGAGTACTATATGCCCGTAAAAAATCAATGGGTTCCGTTGATCGGATATCGATAGCTATGTGAACAAAACAGTTTTTTTATCAACCGTTAATTGTTTCACCATCCATTTTTTTATACAAAACTGTTTTGATCACATAGCTATTGATATCCGATCAACGTGATTTTTTACAAGCATGTAATACTCAACGAGTTCTACACATTGAACGGTTCGGATTATCAAAACGGACCCAAAAAATGGGCCCCATGGGCCGAACTGGACGAATCCAGTCTTGATCTCAACTTGAGACAAGCTGGACCCTGCAAAAAAATAGATAGAATGATGTGACAATTTATAATGACTTTTTAACTTTTAGAGGTTTTAGATATACTAACAGATGTAACATAATTTTAGAGATTTTAGATATTTATAATTTGTATAATGGGTGAGGTCGTAATTTTAAAGTAATAATATCATAACATATGTTGGTACACTAATTGGTATATTAATTTGTACGTATAGTACTATCGATAATTATTACACTTTAAAATTAGGGGAGTTATGTGAAATTCTTAATAAGTGAACTTATTGTCCAAAAAATTCTATGATAATTAGTAATATTTTTCATCAAATACTATTTAAAAAAAAATCACTAATTGTTAATTTTCAGAATTTGTCAAAAAGAAATCAGTAATTATAAAATTTAACAACAATTTTAAAAAAAAATCACCAATTTTCAATTTTCAGCGACAATTTAAAATTTTCATCACAGAAAAATATCACTAATTGTAAATTTTAGCAACAATTTATAAAAATCGTGATAAAAAAAATTCACTAACTGTTAATTTTTAACACCATATACACAAAATCATCAAAAATAATAATAATTTTATTATGATTTATTTTCAATAAGTCTTTATAAGAATTAAATCTTACTACTATATCATATTGGTAGTTTACCTTTAAAATAATTAACTTTTCAAAATTAGTCTTTGATTTTTTTTCACAACATCAATTGCCATAATTATACTTTGTGTACGAATTTAAAAAGATGGCAAAATAAGAAATTTATATTATTTTAGTCATTGAATTTTGAAAATAGACTAATATTTTAAGATAATGAAAAATAAAATAAAAGACATATTTTAGGATGGAATGAGTATAATTTTATAATTGAAAATGTTTGAGACCCTAAAAAAGTATCCACAATTCTACCCACAATGATGTGGTAAGATATGTGTTAATTTTTGATTTGTTACAAACTTAATAATTATGAGTATAAATGTATGGATCTCTAACATTACACTTTTATAAATTACACTTTTGACTTTTATTTTATTTTTATTTTTTTAACTTTGGCTAGTAATGTTTCAATTTTTTTAAATTTACTTTTAAAGTGAATTTTTATTCAAAAATTAGATAAAAAATATTACGTTTAACTGACACATAATATGAAAAATATATTATTATATTAGAACTTAAATTTGTGTTAGATGTGTAAGTTATATATAATAAAATATTTTTAAGCTACATGGCAATAAACGTGGTATTTTCTATTTAATTTTGAACAAAAAATAATTTTATCAGTAACTTGGAAAAAATTGAAAAAAAAAATTTAAGAATTAAAGAAAAAAATGTCAAACATAAAGTGAGTAAAGCGTAATTTATTCTTAATTTTTTTAAATAGTTTAATGATTAAAGGGAAATCTATGGCACATACCCCTCGAAGGATAACTTTATGACAAAATTTCGTAACATCAATCACGAAATATGTAATTTAGACATAAATTAGCGTAATAAAATATTCAAAAATTTGTGGTTCATGTAACAAAATTTTGTAGTTTCGTTACAATATTTTTTTTGTTACGCTAATTTATGGTGAGATTACACATTTTGTGATTGATGTTATGAATTTTTTATAAAATTTTGCTAATTTGTGATAAGATACATATGTACCGTAGAATTTCCCATGATTAAATGACTGTTTGATTAGTGAAAAAATTATATTTGATTATTATGAATAATTTAATTAATAATAAAAAGGGAGAGTTACCAATAAATCCTATGTGTTCAAAATATATTCCAATTAGTCCCATATTATTTTATGTGTTCCATTTAGTCCCATTTGATGAGTAAAGACGAGACTGCCACTGGTTTAGATGCATTTGTTTGGGTGTAATGTTTAGGAGAAGTTTACTAATACGTTTTTGGGGGTTTGTTTGGATGTGACGCTAGCAAGAAGTTTAGTAATACTTTTTGGTGGGGTATGTAATGTGCGATGTTTGGATGACACATGTTTGGGATTTGTGTCAACATGTGTGTGTTTGTGTTTATGTGACGATTTGTTTAACCAACACATTATTCATTTTGTTTGGCATGTGGTGGGGTGTGTGACAGATATGAATGCAAAAGTGTGACGTCATGGCACACGTATGAGACCATTAGGCTGTGTTTTAGAAACTAGTAATTTGAAACTTTGATAAGCGTGATTTTTGGGATGCGATGAAGTCATGTGATTTGGGGAAAATCTTGTTGCCTAATTTGAAAGCCTATGGTTGTATTTTCAGATTCGTGTTGGTGTGGTTGTGTGGCGTCATATACAACATTAAAACCCTAACAAATACTCTGTGACATTTGGGTCGACGGCGGAGTTATTGACGTGGTCGCGTGGGTGTCCGACGTTGAAGGTTTTGCAGGTGCTGTTATTCAATTGTGTATCTGCTACATCAATGGGGCCCAAACATAAGTAACAACAACACTATTCTGTTATTTCATTTGTGTAGTGGGTTGTTAGGGTTTATGGGTCATTATCGAACTGGGATTTTTGCTTTGCCGATGTGTCGTATACATGTTTTTGTGTTTGTGAAAATGTTGGAATGTGGGTGATTGTGTGTCAGACTGGACTAATTTGTGAGACGATGTATTTCTTGCCGATGTAATATGAATAGAACAGTTTAGACTGCTCCCGACATCATCAGTATGGTAATGTGGGTGTACGAATCGGGTGTTTGTGTGTTGTTGGGAGGGTTTGTGTGACATGTAGCCATAGGTTTGGGACATCGAATCTGGGGGGATATGGGTTTGCATAATGTGGCGATTGTTGTTTGTTCATGAGATTTTGTTGGTTGTGTCGTGTAATGTTGTCATTTTGGTGATATTGTGTTTTCTTTGTTGATTATAGCGATTGGCAGGAGCGTCATCCCGTGGACGAGATCAAGTGAGCGAAAAATGGGTGAAGAGGCATTGGGTTCTTCACGGAAAAAATCTTGGGGTAAGGCCCGTTGGGCGTGTATTGTTTAAACAAGTGACGAATGGAGGGCGTGTGGGTGAAACAACGAAAAATGTTAAACAAATATTGAACTTTCGGTCTGACATGGCTAAAGTAGTAAATATGGTGTCCACTATTGGGCTGCGTGACGTGCATTACCCACATTTACGGAGAACGCCATTCTGGCTTATGTTTGAAGTGATACTAATGAACAAGCTAGAACACAACGAGTTCAGAAAGTGTGATGAGCTTGTGATGAAAATCATTCGATCGTATAATCACAGGGACGACACCTTTATCATTGGGGGTGTCCCTGTTAAGGTAAGAACATGAGACTTAAGGTTGATTTTCAGCATGCAATATGGAGGCCAGTTTCTTGACTTGACTCCCAGACCAAAGCCGGCCTCTGATTTCATCCAGCGCCAATGCCACAACCCTGGATGTGTGACTGTGAAGCTGGTTAAGATGTTGCTCCAAGATACTGTGCAAAGAAATACAGAATAGGATGTGGAAGACACAACTAAACTGCTGAGTTTGTATGTTTATGGAAAAATTATTTTTCTCTACTTTGGGGGAGACAATTAGTTGGGCGTTTGTTTAGTTTCTTGATAATTTGGAAACTA